AAATATAGAGGATCCTATCTGTGTATGTGGTGGGATTTTAATTCTGCAAAAATAAAAGTACTAGACCATGATTCAGAAGGGGATAAAGGATATTATAAAGACAGATGTTGAGCTGATGGTTCTCCTGGACTATAATGATGCCCATGTGTCTAAAAATATGGGGTAATTAGTCGTATATTTATTTGCCACTGCGAGAATGTTAACTGCAAAGAATTGGAAGCTATGTATGCTACCAGACTTTGAGAAATGGATGTGAAGGATATGGCTGGTAAAATCTTAATGCTGAAGCAAGTCTATTTGGGGAAGAAAAGACACCAAGTCTCTTTGTTCAGTGATGGAATCTTTTTAAAACAAGCATTTCCCTGCAGAATCAGCAAAAAAGGAGACAGTGGACTTCGTTTATTAACTGTATTTATATTTGAAAAGCAGGAGTGTTAATTGGACAAATGATATTAACAGTAATATTAACTGAGTTGTAACATATAATGGAGAGAATGAAAATGAACTCTGTAACCACTGTGTTATAATTTACAGATTTTTTTTAATTTTGTAGCTTTATAATTTTAAAAAAAAAGAAATATGCATAGATCTTGGCTAATCTGGAGAGCTCTTACTGTCAGCCAATCAAATAATTTATTTATGCATTCTTATTTGCCACTTGGATAGCTTACCATGAAAAATCACAGCCTCAACTACCTGTTCTAGTTCTGCATTCCCTGACAGGCAGACTATCTCCAGTGAGGACACAAGGCCGACACTTTTAATTACTTGAATACTTTGTTTATGACTGTGCATGGAGCCAAGTATACCCTCCACAGGATTCAGCTGAAAGTAAATACTATCATGCAAAGGTATAAGAATTTATATGCCACAACGCCTGTAAGCAGCCTATAAACAGCACTTTCAAGTCTAATCTATCTACTGTCAACAGGCTACTTAAAGACAAATTGTGAGAATAGTTTCTAGAAGGTCACAAACTAATAACTACTTATTACTACATATCTGATCATTCAAGGTAATATTTAGTTAAAACATTTATACATAAAAGATAAAATTTAGTTAAACCTCAGTTAATGTAAATAAACCCTGAGGGGAGATTTAATTCTACTTTCTTCAGATAGGTTACCTCAGTTGACTAGATTTCACTGGAACTTAATTCTGTAATGGACAAGATCATCTCCAAATTCAAGGCTGCTCTTTTAGCACACAGAGCTCCTGTCTACAGAACCTGTATACCTAAGTTAAGAAAGCTGTGCCCTTAACAGGATGCTTAATTGTCTCACTGAAACAAGCTTTCTTCCCTAAACTGACCCCAAACCCTAAATAAAAGCCAAATTAAAAACCTTGCTCAACTGACACTCTTATACAGAGCTACCAAAATCCCCTGTCTAAAGGAAGAATTTTTTCCTCCCTCTTTTTAAACAGAGACTTCCTCACCTCCTCCTATCCAATGGAGTTTCGTGGGCTCTGATTGATTGACAATTTGCAGCAGGCCAAAATCACAAGGATTGGTTTAGAGCCCTGGAGCAGAGGCAGGGCTTTTGGAAATGATTACCACATGTCCTGTAACTACAAGTCCTCTAAGAATGTTTAGGGGAACCCTCAATCAAGACTTCTTGAATGCAGCATCGTGATGCACACAAAGCCTCTTCTACTCATGTGAAGTAGAAAAACAGGTTGCTTACTTGTAACTGATGATCTTCGAGTGGTCATCTGTACATTCACACCTCTGGGATATAGTGCGCCTGCGCCGACCTCGATTGGTTCCTCTTGAAAGCGAAAGGGATTTTTGTGCCCACTCCCCAGTCACGCGCTGACCCCTCTGCGCAAGACCAAGGGAGGGGCACGACAATCATGCCAGTTCCTTCTGACCGCTGCCATCAGTCTCAGAGTAATAAAAAGGAGAGGTCTGAATGCACAGATGACCACTCGAAGATCATCAGTTACAGGTAAGCAACCTGTTTATTTACTTTGTGGTATCTGTGCATCACACCTCTGGGAGATTAGCAAGCAAAAAACAGGCCTACCCGGAGGAGGGAGCTGAAGGTCCTAGACTTGCGCCGTCTGCAACACTGCCCGTCCCACCACGGAATGTTGACGAAGACACACATCCAGGGCGTAATGCTTCATGAATGTGTGAGGGGTACCCCAGGTTGCTGCTTGACAGATATCAGTGAACGACGAACCTCTCAGGAAGGCTGTGGATGTGGCTACTGCCTGGGTAGAGTGTGCTCGGAGCGAGCCTGGAAGTGGCCGTTTGGCCAGTAAGTAGCACAGTTTGATGGTTTCCACAATCCACTTGGATAGATGCTGCAAAGAGAGCTTCTTCCCCTGCACAGGTGTGCTATAGGAGACAAACAAGGCTGGTGACTGACAGAATGACCTTGTTCTATCAAGGTAGAAGCGTATGGCTCTCTTGACGTCTAAAGTATGAAGACGGCGTTCCTCGTCGTTCGTAGGGGATGGGGAAAACGTCAAAAGAGCAATGTCCACTCACAAACAACCTTGGGCAGGAGAGACACATCAGGGGCCAAGGTGACACCATCATGGTGAAAAACCCAGTACGGAGAATCGCAACGGAGTGCAGACAATTCGCTCACTTGCCTTGCTGAGGTAATGGCTACTAGGTAGGCAGTCTTCCACGCGAGAAGCTGCAGACTAGATGTGGCCATGGGCTCAAACATTTTGCCTGTTAATCTGGACAGTACTAGAGGTAAGTCCCAGGAGGGAGTCGGCCCACGAGCGGGAGGAAAGAGGCGAGTGAGGCCCTTCAAAAACGGCTTCATTTGCTGGTGAGAAAAAACAGAATAGCTTCGATGTATGGGCCGAGCATTTCAGCATCGGGCGGTCAACATCTGAGTTAGTCAGCATAGGGGACAACGCAGCCGTTGATGCCGAGGTGGCAGTCGACATTGACGCATGCCCCGAAGTGTCCTGTGATGACATCGGTGAGAGCGCTAACTCCAAAAGCGCAACGCAAAGTCTAGCAGCTCTGTTCTTTCTTGTCTGCTTCGAGAACTTCACGCAATGTGCACAAGAGTCCACTCAGTGCGATTCCCCAAGGCACAGAAGGCAAAGCGAGTGTCCGTCCGGGGGAGCGATTATACTACCGCACTTGAGGCACTGTTTAAAGAAACCCCAGCTCTTGGCCATAGGCTGGGGGGGGGGGACACTTGGTCTGTGAAAAAGAGACCAAATGATAAAGTCTGGGGGGGGGGGTGAATTTGTAGTAACATTTTCCTTTCCCTTGGCAAAAAAACAAGAAAAAAGTGAAAAAGTGAAGAAACTTCGAAGAAAAAGAGGAATAGGCCCTAAAGCCAAAATTTTTACCGACCAAAACGGAGAAGATCCTACCAGCGCGGCGGTCAGAAGAGAACTGGTGGGATTGTCGTGCCCCTCCCTTGGTCATGTGCACTTAAGCCAGTGTGTGACTGTGGAGCGGGCACAAAAATCCCTTTCACTTTCAAGAGGAAACGATTGAGGTCGGCGCAGTTGCACTATATCCCAGAGGTTTGATGCACAGAGACCACGAAGAAGATTTTAGGTTATTTACCTTCACTACTCTGCCCTTTGCAGCCAAGTCTGTCTCCAAAAGGAGCTTACAGCAATTAAAATCTAGCCCAAAGGTACAATCTAGTAGGGTTAAGTGGCTATGTATACGGCAGTCTCATCTAGCCTTTGGCAGCTGATGACACAGGCTGCAGAGTCTTTCCTTTAGTGGAAGATACAGGAGTTGTGGTCAGACCAATTGGTCTAAAGAAGGAAACCCACAGAAGCACCCTTCTATTTGCACTAGGTTAGGTATTGCTTTACCTCCAGAACAGATCAATCCTTATGTCAGGGATGCTCTGTAAACACTTCAATGCTCCAGAATCTCTAAACTGGAAAGATTCCATATACAATTTCAAATACATCTCAGCCACTAGCAGGGCTAAAATTTCGCTTTCTTTGTTCAAAATGAAAACTGGGATTCTCAAAATTCCATGTAAAAAGCTGCACTATTTAACCATTTACCGATTTTATTTTAAACTCCCCCTCCCCCATTCTGAAAGAAATACCTGCACATGATATAAAGAAAATCCTTGTTCCAATTGCTATTGGAATAGAGGTTAAACTAACTTCTTCAATCACTGCTTAATGATACTGATTGTCCAAAGCAAGATTTCTCAACGGAGACTTTGGACCCATCTATGATCCACTAGGCCTTGCAAGGCCAAGAACTAAGATATAATTCACTTGATGAACCTCTTTGGTAAAACAATTTGTGAGGTAATAGCCACCAAATAGAATACATTTATTTTCCACATGTCACTGGACTAGACAGCAAGAATATATATGGAATATGGATAAGGATATAGGCCCAGACCCACATTACATACAGACTACCATTTAGAAACAAGTGTACTACAGTGTTTCATTGGAAATACTGGATGTTTTTCAAGGGGGTTGATTGAATTATTTTCATGCAATAAAAGCAAATGATGTTAAATAAGAACTAATAGCTGAACCATTCTTTTGTTCTGTAAGAAAGCTGATCAACTACTGCTAATAATCTGTTGCAGCACTAGGAGGGTCTCAACACTCATCAAAGGAAAAGGTTTTCAGTACCATGTCCTTCCTCCTCCTACTGCCAGAGACTTCTCTCGAAAGGCTGTGGAAGGTAGCTGTGGAAGGCGCTATCTTCATTGGGTCACTCCTAGCTGATTTAAAAGCTGGTCTGACAGCCCACACGTGCTTTCTGGCTGCCCTGCTCCCTTGCAGGGATTCCTTTCCCCACAAGAGGCAGGGAGCTGGCCAAGTCAATGGCCAAGGGAGAACCCTGCCTCTCACCAAGCTACACTGAACCACCAATTAGTGGAAACACTGTCTCTTTAAAGCTACAGCTTTCTAGGTCGGTTCTTCCCTCCCCTGGAGCAACTTTTCAGTGAGTCCAGGTGAGCTACCACCCCTGCAAAAGTATAGTAAGGCAAAGGATATACTCACTGTGCAATATAACTTACATTTACTCCAGAAAGTACAGAAGAGAATGTAGAACCTGACTGGCCAAATGAAGATGTGGAATTGTATGATGACCCAGGATTTAAAGGATAGTCTAAAGAAGGGATGGCAAACATTCAATAAAAACCTAAAAATGTATGAACTATAGATATACATAAACTGAAGATGCACTATTCTCTTAGGTAAATGAGCATTTTTTTCCTAACCTCTGTTGAGATCTAGAGAAAATAAACCTCACCTATCACATTCATGCAAAAGTATTGATATATTCAATCTCACCCAGTATCTTTGACTATGGGAGTCCCTCACAGGCAAGAGTAATGGGGCAATTCCTCCTCAAGTGAAGGAACAAAATCTTTCACATCCTGACTCAATGAGTTACAACCAAAGCATCAGCTTAAATACAATAAAGTATCAATCATGGTCTTGTTTCTGCTGGGTCGAGAGCTCATATAATCCTGGGAAAAGCAGCCTGAAACAGTAGTAAGGGGCAGGACACAGTTAATTTTCCCATTGTACAATCCCCACCCACTGCATCATTTCACCTTACTAGGAATCTTTGCTGTTCAATATAATGAGATCTTGTAATCAGCTCACTGATTGCATGATATCGTATTTTGTAATCATCTTACTGATTGACTGTATTGGGTTGGGTTTTTTAAAATCTTACTGTTAATATGGAAAATGAAAATAAAACTGAAGAAAAATACCAAAACATTCATAGTGCTGAATACAATCTAAGCAAAATTCCTGAAGAGTTTAAAGACCATGTAAAGAACAGATTACTAAATTCAAGTGAACCAGAAGAACTATGGGTTGAAACCAGAGATATTATTGAAGAATGCACAACTACTCCTGTAGCCAAAAGAAAAGCATCAATAAATGACGGAGGAAACTCTTAAAATTGCTAAAGATAAACAAGAAGCAAAAATAAAAGGTGACAGAAACAGAATCAAAAGCCTAATGGCAGCATTCCAGTGACTGGCACGTAGAGACAAAGAGAACTATTATAAGAACCAGTGTAAAGAAACAGAAGAGAACAAAAAAAGAGGAAGAACAAGAAATCTGTTCCACAAGATTCAAGAAATCAAAGGGAAATTTAAAGCATGGTTAGGCATGTTGAAAGAGCAGCATGGAAATACATTAACTGAACAGGACAAAAATTTAAAAAGATGGGAACAATACACTGAATAACTACACAAAAGAGACGAAACGATGGCAAATTCCTTCCAAGAAGAATATTTTGAAGAAGAACCTACAGCTTTAGAAAGTGAAGTGAAAGCTGCACTGAAATCAATTTATTTATTTATTTATTTATTTATTTTGGGATTTATATCCCGCCCTACCCGTACGACCCAGGGCGGCAATTGAGAGAAATTGAGAGAAACAAATCACCAGGAGTAGATGGGATATCAACAGAGCTATTCCAAGCCACAGAAATGGAGTCCATCAAAATCTTAATAAGATTGTGCCAACAAATATGAAAAACAAAACAATGGCCCACAGACAGGAAACACTCTATTCCGATTCCAAAAAAGGAGATGTCAAAGATCATAGCAACTATCAGACCATCGCATTGGTTTCTCATGCGACTAAAATGAAGCTCAAAATAGTACAATATTATGTCCCTGTCTTTTCAGTCCATATGCAGAATGTATCATAAGGAAAGCTGGATTAGATTTAGATGAAGGTGGAGTGAAAATTGGTGGAAGTAGCATTAACAATTTGAGATATCCAGATGACACCACATGACTGGCAGAAAACAATGAAGAAACTGAGATTGTTGAAGATTTTTTATTCTTTGGCTCCATCATCAACCAAAAAGGAGACTGCAACCAAGAAATCAGAGGGAGATCAAAACTGGGAAGGGCAGCCATGAAGGAGGTAGAAAAGAGTCTTAAGTGAAAGCATGTGTCACTGGCAACCAAGATCAAGTTAATTCATACCATAGTATTCCCCATCACTATGTATGGCTGTGAAAGTTGGACAATGAAGAAAGTGGATACATTTGAAATGTGGTATTGGAGGAAAGTTTTATGGATACCGTGGACTGCCAAAAAAGACCAAAAAAGTGGGTTTTAGATCAAATCAAGCCTGAATTCTCCCTAAAAGCTAAAATGAGCAAACTGAGGCTATTGTACTTTGGTCATATTATGAAAAGGCCAGAGTCCCTGGAAAAGACAATAATGCAGGAAAAGAGGAAGCTGCAACATGAAATGGATTGACTCTATAAAGGAAGCCACAGCCCTCAGTTCGCAAGACCCGAGCAAGGCTGTTAACAATAGGACATTTTGGAGGACAATAATTTATAGGGTTGCCATAAGCCGGAAGTGACTAGATGGCATTTAACACCTCACCCCTCATCCATTTTTGGTCCTAGTGAGAAAGGCAAACTATAAATGAAAATAAAACAAAATAAGGACATGAAAGAATTCCCAGAGATAATAGTTAATCTAACTAAATTCCTATAACGAAGCAAGGCCTGATAAATGCCAGAGCCCTAAGGAATTCAGAGGTGACACTCTGGCTTGGAGCAAAGCACTAGCGCAAAGTTGTGCCTTTTGCCTTTTCAAGTCCCAGAAAACAATGGACAGCCTAGGATACTTGGTGGGACCACTTCTAATAATTACAAAATTCTTTTAACTTCCAACATTAAAAGATTAATGGACAATGTACAGCTATTATGTTTTGTACTCACAAACTCCAATGTTACAAAAGCCCAATAAATACAAATGTTTGCAACTCAAATTATTTTTTAATTTACCTTCAGTACCAGAAAGATTAAACACAGAAGTGTTATTTGAAGAAGAAGAGTGCAACATTCCTTCTGCTGAACTTAACACACACCGGTTATCAGAACTAAAAAGAAAAATGGATTGAAATTGAGCAACACAGCAGGAAAAACTCAAACGTATCTTGATCTAATACTCAGTTAAGAGATAATTTTGAGGTTTCCTGCACAGGCTGAAGTGCTTATGATAGGAAGTTCAACCAGCTCACTGTTGCAACACAGGAAAGTATACAGAAAGTTCAGAGGTGTTATACTGGGTTGTAGGGCACTTTCACTGTCAGTTTGCCTGATGCTTCCAGCCCATAAACACTACACATACAAAAAAACTAGGTTTGAAGAATGATAGTTAGGGTGTTATAAATAATACAGGTCAAACCTGGATTTTTTTCAGATGGGAGTTGTATCTAGATTCATATGCTGTGTTCCTTCTGCCACAAGTCAGAATAGCACCACATATGAGATTGTTCATACATGTATTACAGCTGTGGTCTTCAACACATGGATTGTGATCCTCAGGAGGGTCATGGAGCCCTGCATGCTGGGTCATGAGCTCTTACAGATCTGCTTTTTTGTTGCTTTATGGAAGGACCTCCTGCTCCTGTGTATGGGTGGAAAGCAAAGGTGCCATGCCTCCTGCCTTTTTCCCCACACACACACAGAGGGGTAAGTAGGATGATGAGTAATTCAACCACGGACAGAATTTTTTAAAAAAACAGGAAGATTCAGGGACTCTCTTTTCCTCTAAAAGCTCTCCCTCTTGCTCTCTCCGTTTTCCCATCTTGCAACTCAGCCTGGCTCAGCCACTACCCATGTTCGCCAGTTGATCCTAAAGCATTCTCTGAAAATGTGAAAACTTGTCTTTGCCTTCAGCCTCTTCCTACAAACACTTCCAGCCTACCAGCTGGTCGATGAATTCTTAATGTGCACTTGCTTCATGGAATCCTCCCATTGAATCTCATAATTCTGGTTTCTCTTCCTGTCACATGCTGTTATGTAATATCCTATCACATACTTTCAGGGAGTGGGTACCATGCTGCCACCTGGAGTTATTGGTAGGCCCTGTGACTGCAGAGGTAAACCTACTGATAGAAGATTTTGTCCAGATAGTGCAATGGCTACTCAGGTAGCAGGGATCTGAATAGTTGAAGCTAGAGTTTGATACCACATTTGCCGTGCATGTGTGTCAGCCACAGATGTGTATCATTCTTTCACACTAGGGTCGCCAGATCCCACCGGCTTGCTGGCGGGGGGATTTGGGGGATGTTCTAGGGGGGGGGGATATCACATGATGTCCCCTATGTGATGACATCACGCGGAAGTGACGTCATCATGTTGGGGCCGTCACGCAGCAATGCTCTGCATTTGGGGCAAACCTCTATGAGTTTTTTGGCCTAAAACCATAGAGTTTTGCCCAAAAAGCAGAGTGACCATGTGACATCCCGATGTGATGACATCACTTCTGCATGACATCATCACGTCGGGGATGTCGCCATGCAACATCCCTGTTTGGGGGCAGGCAGCAGAAGCATGAAAAATCAGGGGAACCCCCACCCAGACCAGGGGCCTGGCAACCCTATTTCACACTCACAGATCCACTTACATTTATTTGCATAAGATTCCTATGGCATTGTTAGAAAAAACATCCATGCATCGAGATGTATTATAGGTAAACTGCTACTTAAAAATACAGAAAATGCTAAAATCAATTCGTTACATTACAAGCAAGCAATATGTTCTAATAACCAGTTAATACTTACTTCTCAGAAAAAGCCATGCATTTTTGAGTGTGAAGATTTCCTTTAATGTGCTGATCCCAGTCCTAGATGATAATATTGAGAAAAATATCATAAAATAAAATCAGAATAAAACAGCACAATAAATCTATTTGTAATGAGTTGTATGAATAAGTACGTCATAGTTTTATGGAAGATCCTATACCATGGGGTCATTTCGTAGAAAAAGAGCTAGGGGAACTCATTAGCATAACTCATTAGCATATGCCACGGCGGTGGACCTGCAAGGCCGGCGGAAGTGCGAGGAAGCCCCGCCAAGGCCCTTCCTGGCCCCAGGCAGTCAGGGGTGGGGAGAGGTGGGGAGGAAGCAACTTCCCCTCCCTCTTCTCCTGCCTCCTCCTGGCTGAATGAGGGCTGGAAGCGGGGCGGCCAGAAGCAGGGGCGGGGCTTCATCATGTGCCCCGCCCCCTGCACCTCACCCGGGGGAACTGTGTTCCCCCGCGTTCCCCCCCGAAATGACCTCTGCCTATACCATACATACATTCACAAAGGGTTTTTTTCTGATTTTGTTATACTCTTGTTTTATTGTTTCAAACTTCTTACCTGCGTTGGGTTCAGGTTTTTTTTTTGGGGGGGGGGGAGTGAGAATGTAAATTTTTAAATGAATAAGAAAAAAAGGATTTTATATTCTGAAACATTTTACAGCAAGATCAGCCAATATCATAATGCCCCTGTATAAATCAATGGTGCGACCTCATTTGGAATATTGTGTGCAGTTCTGGTCACCACACCTTAAAAAGGATATCATAGCTTTGGAAAAAGTGCAGAAAAGGGCAACTCGAATGATAAAAGGGTTGGAACACTTACCCTATGAGGAAAGGTTAAAGCACTTAGGGCTCTTTAGCTTGGAGAAATGACGACTGAGGGGTGACATGATTGAGGTTTATACGATTATGCATGGGATAGAGCAGGTAGAGAAAGAGGTACTTTTCTCCCTTTCTCACAATGCAAGAACTCGTGGGCACTCCATGAAATTGCTGAGCGGTCGGGTTAGAATGGATAAAAGGAAGTACTTCTTCACCCAAAGAGTGATTAACACATGGAATTCACTGCCACAGGAAGTAGTGGCGGCTACAAGCAATGACGGCTTCAAAAGGGAATTAGATAAGCATATGGAGCAGAGGTCCATCAGTGGCTATTACCCACAAGGTATAGATAGGGGCTCTGGGGCAAGTGATGATGAAGAAGAAGAGGAGATTGGATTTATACCCCACCCTTCACTTGGAGTCTCAGAGCGGCTTACAAACTCCTTTCCCTTCCCCTCCCCACAAGAGACACCCTGTGAGGTGGGTGGGGCTGAGAGAACTCTGACACAAACTGCTCTTTTTCAAGGACAGCTGTGCCAGAGCTTGTGACTGACCCAAGGTCACATCAGCAGGTGCAAGTGGAGGAGTGGGGGATCACTGTGATGCTCTGTCTTCTTGGTGATGCTCTGTCTTCTTGGTGCTTGGGGGGGGGGGTCAAAAGTGGGAGGGCTTCTAATGTCCTGGCACCACTGGTGGACCTCCTGATGGCACCTGGTATTTCTGGTCACTGTGTGACACAGAGTGTTGGACTGGATGGGCCTTTGGCCTGATCCAACATTGGTGTCTCTTATGTTCTTATGTTAAGCAAATTGGAGGGATAATAATAAGTTCAACATGAAACCACCCTCATTTATATAAACATGACTTACCTAAAAGCTGCACTTTGCAGTACTGTGGGGCACTGTGCAGACACCTAAACCAGGACCCCAGATACCATACTTTCTGGCCACACGTAGGGACTAGAAACATTTCAACCTTGCTGGTTGCTTCTTCCAGTGATGTCACTGTGGCTTGGAGAAGCAGTTCCAACAACCTCTGTGAGAAGCTGAAAACCTTGGGAAACCATTGCCTGGTTTAATGCTGGTCTCTGCAATTTATTTATTTGTGTTATCAGCTGCCTGCCTTTCTCACTGAGCTTCAAGGTGGATTACTCAGCGTAAGTCAATGTAATCAACAGGACAAGGCATCTGATAAGCAATATAACAGAACTAGGATCACAGAAATCTGAAACAAAGCATAAGTAGTAAACCATGGTATCCCGCTATGGAATAAGGCACATTAATCCACATAGTTCCTGGCAGAAGACTGCTGAAATTGCTTTTAATAGCCACAGCAGTACCTCTGGAGGAGCACAGCAGCAGGGCCAAGCACTTTCTGGATCCCTGGCAGAAACTGAGGTTTGTGGAGGTTCAGGGAATCACGTTTGCACTGTGTCTCACAGTGTTGTATACTGCAGGGTTCTTGTGGACTGGGCTTTACATTTGTAATTTCAAAACACAAGCAGAACAAAACTGCAATGTTTTTGTTTTTAAAAAAATGCAAGGAAGGTTGGAAAGGCATATTTCAGCTGCAACAGATATTTCTAAAGTAAGTGCTATAACAGGACTAAGCAAGTCATATAATTTTTTATCTAGCAGCATCCTTACTGTGAAGGAGGAAGGAAGGCAAGCTGATTCTCAGAAAGTAATGAGAGTTGTCAGGAACTATGTAAAAACCACAAGTAAAAACTGATCACACCAAGTAGGTAACTCCAGTATGGTCTTAATAAAAACACAACTGCTGCCAGTAATACAACAGAGTTATTTTACTGAACAAACATTTCCATGTACTAGAAGGAAGCACAAGTATGTACTAGAAGGAGGCACAAGTATGTCTAACTACACTTACCTTTAGATCAAATACCTTCTTATCACATACTGTACAGATGTGGGGGTAGCAAGGAGGTGCTACACTGTGAAAATCATTTAGCTCATGAGACTGAAGAGGTCTTACTGACAAATCTGGAGTTACTTCCTGCTTTTGTCTCATTTGGGAGCTGTTGAAATTTTGTTTACTGCCATTGGTTCTGCTGAAAGCGAGCCCAGCACCGGCACTAAACTTTGTGTCAGGCGTTGGTTCTTCAGGATTGTAAAGATCGTTTCTTATTTCATATGGGACACTTGTTGACGGCCACATGCTGGCACTGGGCAACATGTCAGTCTTATTGTGGCTAGAGAAAGAAGGATTCTCCCACTGATTATTTGCTTCTGTTTCATGTTGAACAGGACCTCCCTCTCCTTTTGGATTTATAATCTGATGAGAATTATGTGTGTCCGCAGAAAAATTCAAAGACTGTGCCCCCGTTGTATGCTGGCCTTTAGAACTGGGTATGTAAAACTCTTTCTGAAATCCTGGCTGACCATCATAGGTTCCCCCTCCAGAAGATGCTGGAACTGAATGAGACCCACTCGTCACAAAACCATGTTGGTTGCATTGTTCAGCTTCAGAGGGAAATACCTGTTTACCATAGTCATAAAAGCCACCCGTAGCAGAGGAGACACCAGACTTATTTAGTCCCATAACCACTGCTTGCTGTCCAGCTGTCTGAGATATTACACCCCCAAAAGGGTTTATGACCACAGCACTTGGGTTTTGATTCTGCAAATTACCTACAGGGCCCAGTGCTCCTCCTGGAGCTGTCAAAGCAGGGTTCTGTGTTGGAAAATGAATTCCACCAGGTGGAAATCTAGTATTGGCTATCCCAGACCCTCCAACATGCCCCTGAGGAGTGTTAAACATGGAAGGATGTCTTAATTGGTTGAACAGTGGCTGAGACATTGCCACTTTAGAGAGAACTTGATTCAGGACAGTTGCAGCTGCTGTGTTGTTGGTGACTGCTGTCTGAGCCAATTTTAGCCTGTGCAGGGTAAGCTGGGCTTGTAGCTGAGCAAGCTGAAGACTCGCAGGAGAAGGAAGCAGTGGATTCGGGGTGCTGACAGAGAATAGATTCTTGTCCAGAAGCTTGGCAGCACTGCAAAACAACAGGCAATCGTTTTAGTGCGAATTCATATTTAATAGCTGGCCCTTGTCGCCAAATCATGACTAAGTGGTAAGATGCTACCCCTTGCTAAACCCCTGGAAGGAAGGAAAGGAATTTATGGCATACTGTTAACCCAGCCTGTCCTCTAATGTATCTGGAATCACAGTCATTTCAGTTATGAGACTACAGGCAGATAAGTGTTTCAAACCTTAAAAAGTAGTATCATGTTTATTTGAGTTCAAGCCAAAAAACCCATCTGAAGGTCACAGAAAGGACTTCAATGATTTCAGTGACTTTTGCTTCAAGCTCTTTACTAAGCAACTGGACTAGTTTGTCTAACCTAAAGGCAATCAGTATAAGCAACAGTCATTGTCATCTATGGCAAGGGCAAAAGAAGATTACGTTTTTATACCCCGCTTTTCTCTACCTTAAGGGGTGTCAATGCAGCTTACAATCACCTCCTCCTCCCCTCCCCACAACAGGCAACTTGTGAGGTAGGTGGGGCTAAGAGAGTTCTGAGACAACTGTGACTGGCCCAAGGTCACCCAGCAGGCTTCATGTGAAGGAGTGGGGAATCAAACCCGGTTCTCCAGATTAGAGTCTGCTACTCTTAACCACTACACCACACTGGTGTATATAACGATATACACATACTGAATGACTGCAGTTGGGATTGCTAAACTGCATTCCTGTAGACTATAGCACTATGTATTACCACAGCATCTGACAATCAGTAGCTTTTTTTTAATGTTGCACACGATGGTGCTGTCACAAACTTGCTCACCAAAGAGGGTTTGACCCACACTCTTTTACATAGGGACAAGTTCTAACTACTTTCCTTTGTAATTTACTTATTACAACCAGAGCCTTATGGACTATTTCTACTCTGAAGTAGAGCCACCCTTTAATTAGAGCATTTAGGAATATATACCTTAAATGCAGCTATATAGCTCCCACTCCTTTCATCCCATCAGAATATACCCTTTTTACCACCATTTACATTACTTGAGTATCTAAAAGAGATAATCCTAAACACGGTTATTTGGGAATGAGTCCCATTGAGATATACTTCTGAATATACACGCTTAGGATTACACTGCAAGTGCATATGGATATTAATGAATGTGCAAAATTATACCAGTTTAGAACACTTAAATTAAATGCTATTTTAGTGGCAACCGCAGAGAAATTAAACCACAGAGAAATTAAAAACATGAACACAATTCCCCCATATTAACACAATTCTAACTTCTGTACTTCGCTCAGCATTCTAGAGTTTTTGGACTAGAATATTTCTGCACCACTCATACTTTTCCTGTAATTAGTAACAAATGAAATCAAAACTGCAATTGCATACAACACTTAATATAGTTGTATATTCCCCATAAAATTTGGCAAAACCTAGCTCCACAGACAAGCTTTTACTAAGGAGAAAAATGTAAAGGGACAATAACCTTGGGATAGGGTCACTGTACTTGCATTATAGTTTTGTGGGGGGGTTTTGAGGTGAATGCAAAGGAGCAAAACAAATGTAAGATTATGATAAAATTAGCAAAATGGGAATATGACAAAGACATTGCTTAAAAGATAAAATATGTTTTAAAAAAATACATCAGGAGCTGGAAACCATGCATGGAGCTAGTGTGTCTTTGGATAATAAAGGGGTGATAGGATTTCTAAAGGAAGGTGGGGAGATTGCACAGAAATGGAATGAATTCTTTGCATTGATATTCACTGTGGAAAATGTGGTTTGGTTATTTGTGCTGGAACTTCCATTTTCAGGAAGGATGTCAGAATATCTGTGTCATATAGATTCGATGAAGAATGAAGTTCTGGAGCTGATAAAAAAATTTAAATCTAAAAAGTCACCAGGTCCAGATGACATACGTGAACTCAGATCTGACACTGTTGATACTAATATCAGCCTCCCCTTCCACCAGACTAGAATTTTACAAACGATCTGAAGGAAGTCTAGGAAAGTACAGGCTTTTAGCCTGAGATCTGTTCTCATTAATTTGATGGAAATTGTTAATAAAGAAATGTTGAGCACACAGACTCACTATAGCTTCTATAAAGGCAAACAAAATTAGGGGGGGGGGGGGATTTGCGCACACAAAGTAACTTACAC